TCAAATTTTGTCTAACTCTCTGAATTAGTAGAAATTTGGGCAACACTCCCTTTAGAAAGGGAGACTTCCCAGATTTATACTAAGTCAGATACGAACTCGAACAACAGCTCGAGCTCAACTTTTAGACTGAATTTAACTAACTTCTTAATCTTGCATAAATTTCGGCAGCACTCCCTCTAGAAAAGTGCTCTACCAAAATTTATACAAAGCGGGGACCAGAATTTGAGAATAACTTTGACTTCTCAAAGTCCAATTTTGTCTAACTCCCTGAATTAGTTACAATTTGGGCAGTACCCCTCTAGAAAAGGAAACTTTCCATATTTATACTAATCCATACATGGAAAAGACAAGTTGAACTCTGACAAGTCAAAAGTTGACTCACTTCTTGGATTTGGAGAAATTTCGGCAGCGCTTCCCGTAGGAAAAGTAGCTCGCCAAGATTTATACAAAGCCAAGTATAAGAAAAGATCTCAGAAAATGCAGGAATTGACCTAAGTAGAAAAAAACGTTATTACAAAAAAATGCAGGAATTGACACCAACTCCTATGACTCTAGCACGTGGCGAGCAACTACAGCAACTACCTATAGTAATGAAACTTAAACAAACTAGTCATCTCATCCAGTCATATGCAAACCAAACCACCAATGTAAGTACTCTCACCACCCCAAGTTTATTCCATATAGATAGTTCATGAATCTTCAAGTTCTTGAATCCTTATACCCATCTTACATAAGAGATAGAGTTGGACCATTGGCCATGGAAACAATGCCTAACTTGTCTTTATGATATACACGAACAGGCTGCACAACTACTTCTTTCTTCTTTTGGGCAGATGACTAGGCCATTCGCCATGAAAACAATGCCTAGTGGCCCTGAGCTGTTTAATATCCAAAGATTTAGTATTTCTCTGACTTTGTTTTCAAAAGAAAAAACAAATATGGGCAGGGGACTGAACCATTCACAGTAGAAAAAATGTTCAGCTTGCCCAAACTATTTTCATTTATACTTTGTATTTTCATTTTTCTCCTCTTAATGATATGGCTTAACGCTGGACCATTCACAGTAGAAACAATGCCCAGCTGCCATTTCACATGCAAATATACATAAAATACTTTCCTTTATACTTAGTTTAAATTATGTGCGTGGTTTTCAGGCTA